CACAGTTAAAAATTGACTTTGACCTTTATGATTTGGGCAAGTTCCTTGACCATTGTGAGCCCCAAGTTTCATGATTTAAAAGATCGGTATAGTAGTAATAAGAAAATTAGAGAAAAAACCAACAACAGTTGCCGTTGAATCAGATCCAACAAATGGTGAACTAATGTGTGCCAGAGTACAGCGACAACCCATCAGGTGGCCAATGGCTGCTTATTGAGAACTGTGTCTCCAGGCCTTTCTTCCAAGGCACCTTGAGGTAGATTGAAATCTCCAACCTTCCAGTTGGTGGCCAAGTGCCTCAACTGTTTTAATCACCCAGATATATACTCCTAGCACTAATTTTACTACGGTTGAGAGAATTAAATGAGATAGGAATGTCCTCAACGCACTGTCTAGCGACCAAGGAAAGCTTGATAAATGCCAGTTATTTTAATTGTCCCACGTCCCAGGGACACAGGTAGCTGAATGCAGCGCTTTAATTTTTGTGTCTCATTTGTTTCTGTGTACCTGCTCATCCTTTGAGAATAATTGAAAAATTATTGTGAAATTTGTGATAAAAAAACTTTAAAATGTCAAGGTTGCCTCAGCACATTTTCTTTGTGTAGTATTATCTTCAAACATGCATGTTCTGTGGCACAGACTGATTAAAAGGTGATGAGCGCATTTATTTCACAGATATTTGAGCGTTCCTCCTGTGATGTCTAATTGACTCAGCACTTGATTAAGATAGTCATTTTGTGTTTAATTTTCTGAGTTCTGTATTCATCTGTAAATCCTTTAAACAAACAAACCCTAAGGTGTACTACTGTATCTTGCTCTCCACCTGTCTGCCCTATCAATACCTAAAAAACAAATATTTTATTTGTTATAGCATAAAAAACAAATATTTTATTTGTTATAGCATAAAAAACAAATATTTTATTTCCAAGTAGACCAGAGCAACTTTTTATCATGAAAAACATGATCAAATGATTAATTTGGAATATTTCTAAGTATGCAAATATTTGACATAAGCATAAATCTATATTTTTGTTGAAATTTAAAAACTGTGCTCAGAGAAACTAAGAAGTATTATTGGAGTTTAGAATGCATTTTGTATCTAAAATATTTGAATGTCAATGTGCCTGATATTTTAGAAAGTTGCAACATTTTTTGAATAAATGAAGGCATATCTAAAAGATAACATCAAGGGGGAACATTATTGAGTGTCTCATTTACTTTGATGTTTTATTTTAAAACCATCTCACTGCCATAAAAACTCATCACCCTGCGGTCAATTCTGACTCACGGCGACCCCTCATAGGACAGGGTAGAACTGTAATTCTTATTCTTTTTTTTTTTTTGCTTCTCCCCCCCCCTCCACTAGAGACTGTAATTCTTTAGGGGAGTAGAAAGCCTGGCCTTTCTCTCTTGCTGAGCAGCTGGTGGCTTTGAACTGCTGACCTTGCAGTTAGCAGCTCAGTGCAGAACCACTGCACCACCAGGTCTCCTATATACACATGTTTATGAAGTTCAAGTCTACAGTGTGTAATATTGTAGCAACGTTTTGAATGAAGCATTGATAATTCTATATTGCTGTCAAAAATTATATGATTAAATTTTTGCTGCAGTTCTCATAGCTTCTCGTGGCTTGTCAATTAAAAAAAAATGAGTGTTTAAAAAAATACTGCTCAACCTTGGAGAAGGAGTGCTACAAGCGATCACCATCATCAATAGCTAATGAAAAATACGAACCAAAGATTGGAAGTACATAAATCGGTGGCAAGAGTTGGACCTTCCCCCTCTTTATGTGATTGGTTATATGCTCTAACTTAGTAAATCTATGTTTCAATGAGGTCCCGGTCCCACAGTCCCTGGGGCAGTTGACTGCACTTTACCTCAGAGCCAGGGACTGTCCCACTGACCCTGATGGACAGTGTCACACATTAGGGTAATAACACAATTCTGAGTGGAAACTAGGGATCATGCAGTTCAATCAACTTTCTTCTGAATTTAATATAAATCCAGATGAGGACTTGATGACATTTATAAGATGAATTCATACTTAAACCATCCAGAATGATTTATTGAAGTTTCTTTTCATGATTAATCTAAGAGCATTGTATTTTAGAAAGAAACGTTTTGGTTGAATTCATTCTCTTTTGTAGTTAACTTGAGTTTGTTTTTTTCATTTTGTATTTTTTGCCTTGTTTTTTGTCAGGGACACAATGGCTTAGTGGAAGAGAAGCATTTGTCCTTTGTTCTATAGCTTCACTATATTTATCCTTGTAAGAATATTCTGAAGTTTGTAATGTATAAACAACAACACACATGCGCACGCGTGCACACACGCGCACGCATGCACACACGTGCACGCATACACAACCAAATCAGTAAGAAAACGGTATCACAGTTCTTAATAAAAATTTAAAATCTGCCACATATAAGGTAACTCTTGGAGTTTTTACCTTGAAGATGAAATATGCACACAGAATTCCAAAAGATGAATATTTTTTCAGAAACTGCATTTTGTTTTGATAACATTTCCCAAACGTTAGTTTGGAATAATCAGCCCTCTGATTACTAGTATTTGCTTCGAGCTATTCTTCATTTGATTTTTACTTTTAAAAATGACATCATAGATGTTTGGAAGTTACTATTATTTCAGGGAAATAATAATAATAACAATAATTTAAAAACATGTTCACAGTTTTGATTTTATTTTTAAAGAAAGACTCCCCCAAATTAAAACTCATCTTCTGACCAAACACATAGATTTTCTCATTCTAGCAAGACAACCCTTTTAAATTTGGAAACATTTGCTCTGGTTGGGACTGGGCAATGGAGCTTTACTGAAAATCTTCACCACTGTTACCTCTGGTATTCATCTATAGCAGCGGTTCTCAACCTGTGGGTCATGATCCCTTTGGGGGGTGTCGAATGACCCTTTCACAGGGGTTGCCTAAGACCATCGGAAAACACATATTTCCGATGG